TTTTTTTCCCCTTTTTCAATCAACAGCTTATCTTGCAGGGTGTTAGTGTTTTAATTCCTCAAAGCGTGCACTATTAGATGGAGATTAGCCTTCAAAATATTTTAAATGTTAATGGCAGAGTGAAATTGCTGATAAGTGGAATTATGTTTTATTATAAAAGATATTTTTCCTTGCAGATTTTTATATGTATTTCTATTCTAGCACTGTTGCCTGTAAAATAACTAGAGAAAATACTAAAAAATTAGGGGAACGCTCTTTGTCTTGAGCAGAAGCTGGTAGTCTAAACTGCTACATAATTAATCTCTTAGTAAAGCAGGTTGCTCCTCAATAAAATGGACACAGGCTTTGAAAAAACTTCTTAAAAGTTGTTTGTTGTTGCATTGAGTACGGAGAGCTGTGGGTAGCGTTATACATGTTATTTGTTCATGTCATTTCTAAGCGAGGAATGTTAGTATGATCACAAAGAGCTAAATTACTGCTTGGTTAAGATCTTGTCAGCCGCGTGTTAATAACAAACAACACTTCAGCAAAGAGAAATCAAACTAAGGCTGTTCTGGTTTACTTGCAAATATGCCACAGCCATGTCCTGTATTTTTCAAGAACTTTCTCCACAAAACTGCTGAGACAGAAGAGTCTGCTAAGTGGATGGGAATTTAAGCAAGCTGAAAACCATTAGGTTCTTGTTATTCAAAATCAAGCAGATGTGTTGTAGGTAAACACAGGATGTCAGATAGGGTTCTTGTGTTTGGTTACCAGGGCTGCCTTGGTCCTGCGAGTGGGTAAATTGATACTGAAAATAGCATCTTAAAGACATTTTTCTCTATTGCTATATACTAATGTGATGCTGTTTCAGAAATAGTGCTGAGGCTTTGCTTCTTTCTAAATGTCAGCAGAGCCCTATTGATAAAATTCCTGCTTTTGAATCAGAACAGCATGTCCAAATCTTGCATGCAAGTTTGTTTTCTGTCTAGTGTTAATACTGCAATGCAGTATGAGAGAGCTTCTGACTTTGTGGCCGTCCTTTCTCATGCAGTCAAGGTGCCGGAGGAAAGGAGGGGGCAGGAAGAACCTTCTGGTTGTTTGGGTGAAAACGAAGGAGTTGATGCTGTAATGCTGTTTCTAAAAATTCCTCTCCAGTTGTTAGAGTGAATGTCCAGGCAAGGATAGCCTCTGACCTCTTTTTAAAATTCAGGTGTTGTCAACTATCGTTACTTAATTTTATTACATGCCTAACTTGTTACTTTAGATGTGCTTTATCATATTTTGATCCCTTGTTAGGACCAACCACAAGCAATAAAACCTGTTCTTCATACTACAAATTTGGTCAGATTTGAATACGTATAATTTAAATTTTAAAGGTATAGTCTGAAGTAACGTGACTCGATATTTTATGCTCGAGAGTCTAGTGCTGTAGTAAAAATGACAAAACTGTGTTTTAAAACAGCAGTTCTGTGTGCTTAGGCTCCTATCTCTTTGTTCAGCATAGCACCAGATCTGACGCATGGTGGATTTTCTATTGCTGCGCATAGTACAACTTCAAGAAAGAAAAATGTTAATACAGTACCTTCTCCCACAGTGCACGGGCTCTGTTCAAATGCAGGCTTCCCGAGGGAGGTTACAGGGGGCTGTGGTGCCTGCATCGGCCCCGCTCCTGCCAGCGTGTGCTCTCAGCTGGCAAATGACTTGGCTGGGACTGCAGACCCTTTCCTCTGCTTCAGGCTGGGGTTGGACCTCTCCTTGGTGTTGAGAGATCTCATGAGTCTGTACTTTTAAAGCGAATATCTGCTTAAAATCAGGAAAAAATAAAAGCAAAAGTACTGCAGCTTTCTAGTCCTTGCCCTTTTGATCTTTATATGCAAGAAAATGGAGCGATATTTTAAAGTAATTGAATATATGTTTACTTTTTGCAGTACCAGTACTCTGCACTGTGGTCTGTGATGAAATGTGTGCTAGCAGTATGAAAGAGCCTGTACACAGGTGGTCTTTATTTTTCTGCTGATAACTAAGCAAATTCAGTAATATAGTGGCTAAAAATATTCTTACACTAATTACCTATAAAAAATGTATATACCTGGATATTTAAAAAAAATTACTCTTTAAAAAGATACTTTTATAAGCTGTATTTTACCCTCATTGAAAAATCTGTATTGTATATTATCCAGCCATCCTTAACCATAAACACAAGAGAGTTTTGGGTTGATAGCTTTACATCAGAAATTTCTACTAATAATTTATTAGATAGGGGTTGGGGGATTTGGGGGAGGTAAGGGGGAAGACATTTGACATAATGTATTTTGGCATAAGTCTGCTGCTTGTTGGCTTTCTCATCAGCATGTTGCCAAATACAGATTATCTTCAGTGGACCAAGTCCATCCAAAGGGTCAAGGTCTCGTATGATTTGGGTCATCTGGAAGCTTAATGAAGTTGTTTTAGTTCACATTCCATTACATACATCCTAGAGAGGAGAGAACTTGAAAAACTTTGGATTCCCCTCATGTACTAGAAGAGCAGCATTTTGCTTTTCCTTTAATCTTGAAATTATTCTTATTATGAGTTCTGATTATTTTCAGTAGAAATCTTCCTTTTGGGCCCCCCAGTTTAGAAAGGTAGTGTAGAGTTTCCTGAGGCTTGGTCTGTTTGTCTCCCCCCTCTTCCCCCATTAGATGTCAATGCCTATTTTTCCTTCTGCTGCTAAATATAGCCAACTGTTCTGCAGCTCTTACAGCCAACTCACAGTTGATAAAGTTAGCTTTTCATTCAAATCTATCATAATATCATTGCCTAAAGTGTTTCCTGCCCAGTTTTGAAAGCCTTCTGTCCATACAACAAAAAGCAAGGTTCAAGGCCTTCAGGCTTGTAAGTCTGCAGAGGGGAAAAAAAAAAAGATCATATTGTACTTCAAGCCTGTCTCAAACATTGCCCTTAGAGCATTAGAAGTCAGAGCCTTGCAAGCCTGTTTGAATTGCTATTAAAAACTTCAGTTGTATTGATAAGAGAGCATGTCATCTGGCTTTATGAATGCTGTGAATTTTTGAGTCGAAAACTTGTTCAGTGTTTGCAAGCTAGGCTGTTATATTCCAGGTTTGTCCCAGATTATTTGGTATGTATTTATCTAAGCCTGAAATACTGAATATGAGATATGGAACAGCAAACAGCCAATACCTCATAAAAGATACTGGAAAGGTTAAAGAAATTAAGGAGCAGGGGTAATAATCTACTAAAGCTGAAGGGTTTTTATGTACCACGAGACCTGTAAGCCGGAAGGTTCAAATGAGCTTCAAGCTTGGAGTCATTAAATTAAGTCCATGTTCTGGTATATTTTGACTACAACCAAAAGGATCTTGGTCCTCTCCATCTGTGATGACCTTTGCTACCTCATTTTTAGAGGAAAGTTATGATATTTTGTGGTACATTGATAGTTGATTGTGTCATGTCAGAAGGAGAGTCTGAAATGTCGTCTTTTCTCTTCTTCCAAGTACTTTTAGGGGCCCCATGGCTGTTTTTCTGCATTTTCTAGAAGTGTCCTTGAGAATCAGGAGGGGAGAGCTTGGGTTCCCTATTATTTAGGGAAGTATATTAACTCCTGTGGCTCTTGTACTCCTTCAGGTGCCTGTAAGGAGGAGAAAATTGTGACAGGAAAGCTTTGTAGGCAGTATTAGAACAGAGAGTACTTCTTTCCCCTCTTCTGTTCAGCCTGCAGGATACTATGCCTAAAATCTTTAACCCTTTTTTTTTTTGGGTGTGTGAAGGCAAGTAAGTGAATTTCTGAAATTGCAAGATTCCCAGTTGCTATTCTTCCCATCTAAGATGATGAGGGGAGCTTCTGTCTTGTGGTAGGGGAACTAAGATTGTACGTGACCCTACCTACTAGGCTGTTCATCTTGCCCCTGCCCTGCAGACAGCTTATTTTGTACAGTAAGGTGGGTTGATATGCAGGGTTACTGAGTCAGGCTTTTGCAGGCAGGTCAGTACACGGCTGAAGAGTGCTGCCGCTCTGCGGTCACCATCAACTTGGGAAGCCTCCAGAGATGGTGAAAGGTGAGGTTTTGCTTTGTGAAAGGAGGGGAGTGTGAGAGAATTGAACTGTGATACGGTGGGGGAAAGAACATGTTTCTGTTGTAAAACCAAGAATCTTTAGGTAGAAAACCACTTTTTTTTCTTTGCCAAAGTGCTGATACCATTGTGTGAATGTCTAATCTGGGTGAGACCTCTGTTTCTCATGAGGGAATGACTGAGATTCAAGTGTTTGTTGCTTGCTTGTGTGTACATAAAAGCTGACCAGAGGGAGGAAGTTGGGCATAAGATGAGGGGCAATAGGTTGCACCCCAGGCTAGTGTTTGGACGCATTTATTTGCAGCAGATGTGAATTCAGCTTTAATACTTTTGAACCCAAAGGTTGCTTAGAAATCCTAGAAGGATTTCTAGTTCGTAAATCTGCTTGTTTGACTTGGTTAATATTTGCTGATTAGGCAGTGTTTAACATTTTTAATGTAACTGTTCTAACTTGTTTCAGGTCAGGAGACAGTTATGACCCCTCTGAGCTGAGGATTCTTTACATTCTCCCAAACAGAACATCTTGACAGGTGAGGGGAGCAGAAAGGATTTTGTTATTCTTTGTCAGCTTCTTTGGTGAGGCAGTACTGAAAAACCAAAGGAAGGAACATGGGGTTTAAAAGACTGCTTGACACCTACTGGTCAGAGGATTTGGTTGTTTAGGAATTCTTGCTATTTCCCTCTGGGAATTGAACTACTCCTTCTCAGGCACCATCAGTAACTAGACAGTTCAACTCACGCTTTTTTCCCCGCTAAATAAAGCATTTTCATATTATGTCTTGAAAGTACAGAATGCTTTGTAAGTGCATGATAATATACAACATAGGCTTGATTCATTAACAAAAAGCAGATCTATTTTTTACTTGCTATTTGTTTATATACAGAGCTCTGCAAGAAAAGATGTTTCTTCAAAACAAGGGGTTGTACTTTGACCCTAAATGTGAATATAAATGCAATTCCTGTAGCTGCCGTTCTGCTCAAAAAAATCATGCCTGTGTTTGGTGCTGTACACTAGAGTTTTTCTTCTAATAATGCATCCATTGGGCAGGTTTAATAAGTCTTTAAGATAAAATGCCTTTTGAAGCAGAACTTTGAAAACTTTACAGAGTCAGTTTATCAAAATATCCTTAAAATTAACTATTGTTATATAGAAAAGTAATATTCTTTTGCTAGGTGGTTTAGAAAAGCCCACAAATGTCTTGCAAGAAGGTACACAGAATTTTTACATGATTGGCTAAAAGCTTTATAGACTTAGAAACAGGATTTCAGATTTTCTCTAGGAGTGGATGGGTAGTGTCCTGGTTTTGGCTGGCATAGAGTTAATTTTCTTCCTAGTAGCTGGTATAGTGCCGTGGTTTGGATTTGGCATGAGAATAATATCAATAACACACTGATGTTTTGGTTGTTGCTAAGCAGGGCATACGCCAGTCAAGGACTTCTCGGCTTCCCCTGCTCTGCCAGGTGCATAAGAAGCTGGGAGTGGGCACAGCCAGGACAGTTGACCCCAAACTGGCCAAAGGGTATTCCAGACCATAGGACGTCATGCTCAGTATATAAGCTGCGGGGGGAAGAAGGAAAGGGGGGACATCTGGAGTGATGGCATTTGTCTTCCCAAGTAACCATTACGCGTGATGGAGCCCTGCTTTCCTAGTGATGGCTGAGCACCTGCCTGCCGGTGGGAAGCCGTGAATGAATTCCTTGCTTTGCTTGTGTGTGGCCCTTGCTTTACCTGTTAAATTCTTTTTCTCAACCCATGAGTTTTCTCACTTTTACTCTCTCGATTCTCTCCCCCATCCCACCGTGGGGGAGGGAGCAAGCGGCTACATGGTGTTCAGCTGCCTGTCAGGTTAAACCACAACAGGTAGTTAATTAAATTGGAGTAAGACAGACATGCTGTTTTTTTTGTCAAGTTTAATTATGAGCCATGTTGCATCAGCTTTGGAAATGGCTTTTTTTTACATGGCAAAAGCCTGTTCTTGCTTTGGGGAGCTGGGTTTTAGGCTTCAGCTCTCACTTACATGTCTTTGGCAAGGCATTTTTGTCCACTTCATCTGGCCTTTGGCTCTTCTGCCTTTTCAGTTAAAGGGTGTCCAAGCAAGGACAGTTGGCAAACACAGCCAAGGCCCTGAACTATTCAGTGTCATCATAAATGCACAGTAGTAGTTTACATTCTCTGCTTCAAACTGAGATTCATACTGGACCAGTTTCACAAGTCCAATTTTAGTTTCAGCACTCAAACATGCTGCACTTCTGTATCTATAAATAACTGCTAGAAATAAATGCTAGAATGTGTCACAGTTGACATATAGATGCACCATGACAAAGTTCATAAAAGGTGTGACCTTCAAGGAATTCCTGTTTGTTAAGTGTGCTTATTTCTAGCTTCAGTAGTTTAGGATTTTGTCATTTATAGAAATGTTACTTGTAAAACATTACATGCAGAATTGGAATATATGACCAGAAATTTCTATACTGCTACCATTTTCTTGCTCTCCTTACCACTGAAAAGTCATCTCTCTTGACATGGAGAGAGGGAAATAAGGGAGGAAGAAAAGGTGTGTAAAGGCAGCAATAATGAGAAAAAGGGTAGATTCAGAGGAGGAGGAGAAGATCCAAAAAAAAAAAATGTAGGTGTTTAAACTTCAGACCTTAACTAACTGTCCGATTGCCCAGGAGGAATGAGGATTGGTTATGAGCTTTTTTCTCTATATTTTTTCCTACTTGGTATCTGACTTTCTTCAGCATTTCTTGCTCTGAAGCCTTCTGTTAAACTACCCTGTGGTCTTTGAAGGCAAGGGTAGAGCCTTTTTAGTAGAGCTAATGAAAGGTACATCACTCTCTAATGCTGTTAGTTCTTGTCATTATTACTAAAGCTGTTACTAAAGGATTGATGGCCAACATTGTACTGAATTAAACTGCTTTTATCCTGTTCAAAAATAGTAATAAAAACATTCTACTTGCATGGTTTAAAAAACCACCACAGTGATACAAAGAAAATAATGAGTTGAGAGCATTGCAAAGCTAATTCTTGCATATACCTATGATTATTTTGCAACCCATGTCCAGAGGAATATGCTTGGTGATGACAGTTAGTCTAGTAACACCTGAACTTAGACTTTGATATGACTACTATGTTCATAATAATATAAAAGGATATTTTACATCAATAGTGTTTCTGCTGTCATGAGGAGAGTGGGGTTCTGCCAGCTTTTTTTCTATCAAGTTATTTTATATTGGAGGAGGGTATAAAATTGAAGCAGGGTCAATCCTCCAACTGCTGTCCTGTCTGCAGAGGCAATCCCTTTCTGTTGAGGTGTTTTGAAGCCTGCTTGGTGCCTTCTAATTGCTGGTGCTCCATGTGAAAGGCTGGAAGTATTGGTAGGGGTGTGGAGTCCAAGGAGATGAACAACTCGCTGCCTGTGGCAGCAGAGAGCTGTCCTCTATTACGGGTTGTTCCCCATTTCCTTTGAGGTGGTATCTACCCAAGCCTTTCTTGGGTTTTGAAGAGGATGCTGAAGAATAGCATAGGGAGGCAGTCAGAAGTTACTGCTTGCTAAAGGTCATAATTTTAGATGTCTTATAATAAAACTTTCAGTGTCCTCTTTAGGAGCAAAATTAGTCAAAATGGCTTTTTTGGAAAAATCTCAGCTTGAGACTGATGAATGCTGCATGATACTGGTACTTACATATGGTTGTTTGATTTAGTAGGTTTTTTTTCTTGTGCCAGTGTTGTTGCAACTGTGTCTTCTGCAGCTGGATGCTATTTTCTGGGGCTGCTGCTGGTTTTAAAGAGCTTTCTATTTTTACTGCTCGCTCACAGTAACGTCACTAGTGCTTTGCTTTCCTATAAGTGGTGGGATTTGTGTTTCCTCTTGGGACAGCAACAGATGTAACGTATTGTTCCTGAAATGTAATATCTTTTTCCTCTCACTGTAGGAGATTTCAACTAGTCTAAGACAAAAGTTCTGCAAGTATGACCTCTTCTCAAGTCACTTTTCAAGTAAGAGGACCGTCAGTACCAGGTACCAAATTGTGCCTTCTCCTTTTTTGTATGGTTTAACTAGAACTGAACAGAAGAATGATCAAAGGCTGTCTCTTCTGTTTTCTTAGGAGGTAAAAAAAGATGTCAGTTCAAATATAAAAATGATAAGTCGTGGTAAAATACATTAATTAAGAAATTTCACATAGGAATTTGAAAATTATATTTGGAAATTAATTTTTACCTTCTTCTTGAAACAACAATTTCATACTGTGCTGGAGATTTTGATGCTGAAATGGTTATGATTGTTTTAAAACCAGTGTTCTGCCTCTAGTAACTTTTCATTCCATGGGAACGAGTATTTACATTCTAGACCATGGTAGTCAGGCATGCATTGATGTGTTTGTTCTGTTTTTTTATTTTCTCTCCATTCTTGTTGAAAGCTCTCCATAACAACGTGTGACCTCTATTAGGAGTTAAGGACAGAAAGATTATCCAGCTTAATTCAATATTCTATCTGTACAAAACTGTGTAAAATAACTTCTGTAATCTAAATGAGGAGCACAAGGTGTCAGATCATGTAGAACAACAAGATTTAGTATTGATAAATTGTGCTTATTACTTAGATCTTCATCTTTAGAACTTTGAAGGAAGGTCACCAAAAAAAATTGGTGATTGCCTAACAGAAGCAGATGAATGTGGGAGCATGTACAGATTTGCAAACTTCCTGTTACAGACAAATACCAGATGGCATAAGTGTCTGTTGTAGTTGGGGAAGAAAAATAATAAAAACATTTAAAAAGTTTTTACATCTGCCCCATGTTAGACCTCTCCTCTGTTTTTCTCATTCAGTTGGGAATTTGGGAACTGAACGTTGATGCGCAATGTGCACATGAAGCCTTTAGCAAGGACTAGGGGTTTTTATAGCATTCTGGAGAAAACTTTAAAATTCAAGAATAAATTGACCTTAAATCAAAGGAGGCTATAAAGCTATATAATGGAGTAGTGCAAGCCATGCTTTTTTTGACCTGTTTACAGTGTCACTTCCACTGTTGTGATGGCACTGTCACTACCAAAGTTGACTTTGGATGTGTAACTTTTTCGTTTACTGATAATATTTGGAAAAAAAATAGGATTAGAGAGAACTAGATCCTGCCTCAGCTGCTGGTTACAAAGAATTACCTGGAAATAGTGATCATGTGTAGCATAAAGAGGTGACACAAAAGGTTGCTTCTGTTTATGACAATATTGATAGTGTGGGGTTTGACTGGGGAGAAGAGCTTTGAGATGCAGCAGTTGCAAGATGCAGTCTTGTGGAAGAAGAGAGGAAGATTTTCAGAGCTATCAGCAGTTCTACAAACAGCAATATTTCTAGTTTATTTAGAAAGTTCGTGTACTGATTTTGTCAGATCACCATGGTGAGTAGTTAGTTGGTGAGACAAGAATCCTCACCTTGAGTGCTAGTGTGCTTCCTGTGTCCTCATCATTGTCCCTTCCTGTTGATGTCAAAGCCAGTGATTCCAGGCTAACTGGCAGGATAAAAGGGCATCACTAGCATAGGAATGATGCTTTGACTTACTCCCTCTAGGGAAACCACTTCTGGGGTCAACATTGGTGATGAAGCCTGACATGTTGACATAAGCTTTTATATATTTGTGGCATAGAGTGCTTCGTTTATGCCTCATCCTAGCGGAAAGAAGAGAGGGTCACCGGTTACTGGCTGTGACTCCTTTAGGTCTTCATCAGGGCACAGTCCCACGTGAAGAGACTGCTAGGTGGCCAAATATTAGCTAAGATGAAATAAAAAAATTGAAGCTTCTAGCTCCCAACTGTACACACAAATTCTGCTCCAACAGAGCTGGCCAGAGCAGAGAGATTGCAACATGGGTGAGGCTGTTGCAAGCTTTGAGACTGGGCAAAAGGCCTGGAGTAGCTTCCTCTGCTGTGGCTGAAGGAGCTCTGCCAGTAGCAGCATTGGATTCCCTCGTAGGGGGAGAGGGGGAAGTTGTGGACCCTTAAGCTTGAAACACAAACCAAACAGAAACCAAACCCCACTGAGTTTAGAATTGCCTTTGAAAAGGTGGTTCCAGTTTATCATGCATTTCTCTTGTGCCTTTCCTGGTATAATATAAGCAGCATTTTACAAATCCTGATTCAGCCTTGGAATGTAATTATTGAAGTGAGTTTAGGGGTGGCTATGCATCTTGTTCAAATGTTGCCTTGGCGTATTGTACCTTACCGAGTGATAAATATTCGCTTGAGCGTTCACACCTTTTTGTTTGTTTAAAGAAGATGACCAGAAAACTATTCTAGCTAGCTGCTACTAAGAGGAATGTAATTTAGATGGCACTTCAGAGATTGGCTGGCAGGTACACTAAACTAAAATGTACTAAATGCTACTATCTTAAAGGGATATTAAAAGAATTTTAGTTTCTCTATAATGTCTTCAGTCAAATACTTTAACTGGGTGGTATTCAGGTGGTCTTCCCTCCCCACTTTATCTCCTCCCTGCACAACCAAACCATAATATGCCTCGGTACAGAGCAGAAGAGGTAAAGCACCTGACCTAGGCAATTGTGTGCAGTGAATTGCATAGTAAGTATACTAATGTAGTTGATTTTTTTGCCTCCAGTTGTATGCTTACAGTGAACATCCAAAAAGCTTGGATTTTTTTAATGGTTTGGAACAAACTAAAAAAGGGATTATAGTTCAATATGTTCTCAAACTTATTTCAGTAAGCTGTTTTTATGAACAAATTACCTTACTTAATTCCTGGCTTTTGTAAATTTTTTGCAACCCCTGGGTCTGCATGGGTTTCTTTCATAAACAAGCCTGGTTGTTTAGATTAACCTGTATAGACGGAAAACATGGACACAATTTGAGTCATAAGTACATCCTCAAAACTCTTATTTCAGACTTGAAGTTCCAGCTATGATATTTGGCTTAGTAAAAGGTAGTGTATCTTTGTTGTATATATCTTGCCTCCTTTGCATCTTCAGATTATTGTGCCTCCAACACTATTGCTACTGCTTTCCCAGTTTGAGAAAATGAAATCACCACCACAGATACTTGCATCTTGCTTAAGACTGATGTTGTTGTTTGTTTTTTTTTTTTTTAAATCTTGGCGTTTTAAGCTATCAGTTTGTTCCTTGGTTTTTCCTATTGACACGTGCAGGATGTTTTTGGATACCCTCTCCTGTTTTTCTCAATGGTTTAAGAGTGGCTTTGCTTGAAACTTTAAATTTAGGCATTTCCTCTTAGAGGCTGAAGTACATTTCGGGGGTGTGTGTGGGGGGTGTGGGTATTACATTTCATTTAAAATTGCTCCAGTACTCTATTTCTTACATTTTGCATAGCAAGACTAAAAGGTTAAGCATTAAGCAGATGGTGCGTAAATATACTTTAAAATTTCACTTACTTTCCTTCTACAACAGATTTTTTTCTTTTATCTAAAAATATTGTTGAAACTCTGTAAAAACAAAGTACTAATTTGTCCTTTCCATTTGTATTTATCGTTGTGGTTTTTAGTAATGCGTGTGTGGTATAAATGTATGGGTTTTGTATTAAAAACAAGGATAAGTTGCAATGTTAACTTTAACTCCAGGTTATTCCAGAATCAAGCATTCTTATACTACTGTAATCTTTGTGTTCTTTCCATATGTATATATGTGTGCATCAGGGTAGACAGAGACTGACAACTTAATGGGGTTTTTTTTTTGTGTGTGTGTAACAGCATTATGTTTTTATATCCAATAAAATAGAAAGCATAGCAGCAAAACTAATGTTATTTCTCACAGGAATAAAATTAAATGGATGTGATGTCTTGATAATGACGCTAGCAACCTCTTGTCTGTATTTTCTAGATTATTGATGTGAATTTCAGAGAATTATGGTTTTAGACATGTATGTTACCTCAGTACTGTGTGTGTATATATATTTTAAAAAAATCCTATGCAGTATACAAGGAAAAAAACTTGATTCATTGTGACAATAAGCATTTTACAGTGAAAATCTGCCTGCTGCATTTATAGAGATTTTTGAACAGTATTGCTGCAGGATGATTTGGAAGCTAGCCCTATTAAGTGCTGAGGTTGTCAGTAGTCCCTCTCTGAGAGTTCTTTCTTCACAATGGAGAAGAAAACACCTTTGTAATTTTGGGTGGAGGGGAAATTATCTCCTGAACCAGAAAGAGGGAGTTTAGATGGGTGTTTAAAGTATTTGAAGGTTTGACCATCTAAGCTGTACTTATTAATTCCATATAGGTTTGAGCAATGATGATTGTGGGGTTTTTCTGTTTGTTTGGTGTTTTTTTAGGAGAGGTTTTCGCAATATGCGGGAGCTGCAGTGCTTTGGGAAATTGGAACCCACAAGTTGCAGTGGTCCTCCAAACTGACGATCGGTAAGTTGGGGTTTTTGTTCGTTTTTTAATTAGTTTTTATTTGTTCCCTTTGAAGTAGCAGGAGTTCTGGAGAAACAAATTTATTCTGGCTTTGAGTTTGTAAACTATTGAGCTACATGTACTGTTAGTAAAACTATCCAGAATGTCTTGTGTTGCTGCTGAACACTTCGAATGCTTAGGAATGTGTTTAAGAAAATGTTTAACTTGGGTATGCTTTTCTAGTTACAGATGATGCTTTTACCATTATGGCTGGCACATTTCAGTAGTGTAGTTGTAGACGTTTTGAACAAGCAACTGCTGTGGGTAATTCTCAGTCCCATAACTATGCAGCAAGTTATAGAAAATGTTTAGTGTTTACTTTCTTTTTAACCTACACAAGTTGTTATTGTGGCTATAAAGAGATAGGGAGAAGATTATTTAAATGAGACTTGCAGTAAAACTCCTAAGTGGTTTGTGTTTATATAACATGAGTGTACATGAAGAAATTTTAAATGCAGTGGAGGAATTCAGTGTTTTCTTAAAATGGTGCCCTGCCTTTTGCTGTCTGTATGATGCAGGAAAATAGGGCTTGCAGGATGTATTTATAATTCTGTGACTTGCTGTGTGATCTTGGATAAGTCCCTGATTTATTTCATCATGTTTTCCCCATCTGTTAAATGATGAGAATTCCTGCTCCATTAGAGCACTTCAGATCTGTAGATTAGAAAGTGCAATTTCAGTTCTAAGTATTTATTGTGCTTTGTGCATGTTTGGCTAAGTTACCTTGTAAAAACATTTCTTGCAGCAATACACTAAACTTTATTTTAGAATATCACTCAGGACAGACATATGTCTGAACTGTTGTGTTTTTCGTTTTCCCCCTCTGCAGTCAATTATGGAAAGCTACTGTAGAGCTTCCTAGAGGAGTTCCTGTTCGGTATCGGTATTTTAAAGGGTACTTCCTAGAACCTAAGGTATGTACAATTTTTTCTATTTAGTGGTCTCATACTTAGTAAAAAATTCTCTTATTTGAAGTAAAAAGGATTTTCTGAGTTAAACTTGAGTTTTTAGAGATAAATCTTAAATTGCAACATATGAAACATTAAAACACTTGTGGAAATACAAGCAGTTCACTTCTGGAAATACATGACCATATGCTGTTAACTTTAATTATTTTTGTTAAATTGTCTTCTCTCTTTTTACCAATGTTAGGGTTTTAAAAATTCCAGTGATAGTGAAATGCCTGACATTATAATAAAGCTTCCATTATACGGTGGAATTCTCATTAGCTGTAGTGGGGCTATAACTTCTGCACTTACAATAGAATCTGGACTTCAGCAGGGCAAGGATATCTAGCATGGAAGCAAGTGAGAGCAGGAGAAAAATGGTTAGTGTGAGCAGGTGTATTTAAATTTGCCTGATCTACTACAGTTTTTAAAATTACTGCAGATTTTTTGGTGAAGCATGAGAAGTATTAACTAGCTTTTGTGCTGCATAATTAACATGTTACTCTCTTGAGACTGAAAAAGTGAAATAAGGAATGGGGCATCCCAGTGTTTTCTCTAGGTTTGTATATAGGTATTTGCATGACTTGGGCAAAAAAACCCACCGAGAGACAGACACAGATGTGTTTTGCAGGTATTGATGTCAAAGCTGCATGTCAGTTGAACGTGTATGGCAGTACTGGTCTGTAGAAATTGTACTAGGGTAAGGGAGAAGTTCTTCAGATTAGGGATGAGACTGCATCTAGAAGAAAGTTGGACTAATTTGGGAAAATAAGCAGCTACTCTTCAACTGTTTCTCTTAATAACAAGTAATAACCGTAAGAAGTAACCCATTTAAAGCTGTCTTTGCTGTCTTTCTTACTCTATTAATATCCTGTAGCTGTTCACCCTAGGCTTTAGTTCATTGAAGTTGGGTTTATGAAAGCTGTAGCTAAATATGTAAAGGAGTTACAGAATCATCTGGTCTGTATCTCTTAAATATTTTAAATTACTGTCAAGAACTTCTAAGTTTTTGTCAGTTGGACTAGGCTTTCTTTCACTGAAAAAACATGACAGGTATCATCTCAGTGAAGGATACTAATTTTAAATGAGGCATGAGACACTGCATTCTGGTTTTTTTCATTACAACATGTGAAATAGTCTAATCTGAAATGGATGTTTAAACTGTCTTTATTCTGAGGCAAAAGAAGGGAAGTCCAATAATTAGATTTATTTTTCTGAGGTCAAACTGAGGCCAAAAGTAGATCAGTTCTTATAGCCTATCAGCTCTGATAGAACTCATTTTTTGCAAATGCCCGTAAGTTTAAAATGTAAGCAATAGGTCATTAGAAAAAGAACACCTAGTGAGAACAGTGTGGCAGAAAATGTGCTCATAGACAACAAAATTTCCGTTTTATTATTAAAAAAAGTTTACAATATGTATTGGTGAGTGTGTTTCTTTAAGTAGGTGCTCTGTATCGTGCACGCTTTATGTACCGTGTGATGCAGAGTCTGCTAAGGTAAGTATAAATTTTATGGAATACCAGCATAAAGAGCTACTCTATATAGGAAGGAGGAAAAAAGAAAACCACCCTACAAAACAAAGTATGTGAATTGCCAGGGTACATGGTTATCCACTTAGTAGTGTCTAGCCTGTACCTGTTGAGTGCACAGGACTTTTTCTCGTAACATACAGTCTTTTGAAGGAAGGAATTCCAGCTACAATGTTTTCTTCCTCTTGTAAATTTTTTGAAGAACAATGAAAAAGCAGGATCCTTTCTAACAGGAATATCATGCACAGTATAGTGCAAATGAGACAGTATATGGAGGACTTCAGCATTTAACAACTCTGATAAGGAAAAGATACTTCTAAGTTACATTATTCTGAATATTTTTATATCAGTGATTTTTTTCAGTAGGCATTGCATGTGATTAATCTCCTAATTTGATAGGCTTGCAATATATGTTCCTTCAGACACTGTTAGCTTTTTATATCTATGCAATTTTGTGTATCGTGGCCTGCAGTAGGATAACTTAAATACATGTTCAGTCTTAAATATTAGTTTGTCTGAACATATGAATTTGACACCACATAAATGAGTAAATTGTGCTGAAGACAGATCCAGCTGAAGTTACTGTTCCTTTCTATAACAGCTGGGTATTTGAAGATGCTAGAGATGGACATGGTGGCGAAGCTGGGAGTGATACATGTTTACACAGAGAAATGATAGTTCTCATATCCAAAATAGTGCTACAGACTAGATGTGACAATACATATAATAATTCAGATTTTTGGAAAAAAAAAAAACCAAACACAAAAAACCGCAAACCACCAAAACCCAAATAAGAAAGTATTTTTCTTACCTCCCTTTAAAAAAAAAAAAGTCATCATTTGATCTCAGTTTAAATTGTTTTGCTTGAAGGATAGTACGATGTCATGGAAAGTTTCGTTTGTTTGCACTGAAGCATTTTGTTAACAGATTGTGGTTATGTAAACAGAGATTATTTTTTTATATATATAATATATTAAAATTTATAGAATATTGGTAGGAATACAAATAAATTAATGTATATACAATGAACATTTTACTGTAAAATTGGTGCAAGTCTTGGCTCCTGCATATCAAGGGCTTTTACTATGTTGTAAACATTCTCATGATAGCATGTCATCTTAAGCATTTTAAAAGAAAAGTAAATAACATGTACTTGATTAAATAAGACAGTAATTTAAACTATTTTGCTCAAGGCTTGTTCTTTTCTGAAACATAGGCTAGTACGAGTTACCTTCCTGTGAGGATCTTCCTATGTTTTATTCTACACTTACCTTCTGTTTGTTTGGGGTGGGGGGGGGGGAAAGAACCAAAACCCCTTTGTCTAGAATTTTAGTTCTTGTGTATATCTCATGTTTTAGGAGAATGCTTTGATATGTATTGTTTGCATGAATTGTATTTGAAAACCTTTATGAGGAAAATAATGTATCTTATTCCGTTAAGCTGTGTTCTGTATTTGTTTTTCCAACAGTAAATAAGCATGCAAGTTCAGGGTTATTTCTTTCAAGGAAAGTGTGAAATAACTAAGCTATCCATGCGTGTAGCAGGACTTCTAAAACTGGATCAGTGAACATTTTCACACTTGGGAGAGTATTGCTCAATTATAGAGGTTTCAAATGAGACTTAAATTTACTTTTCTAAAATGTAAATAAATGCATTTAGTGCCTGGAATATAGTAATAAAGGTGAAACTTGGGTCTAGACTCAGTAATTTCTTTAATATCAGAATGCCTTAGAAAAGCTTTAGCTAGACTAGTGGTTAGCAAGATAATAACAAAGGAACACCTGCTGTGACTGTGCAGAGATGGCAGATTGTGTATTAAACTGTTTTTGGAAATACTGGAGCTATAAAATCTCTATTTAGCCCAGGACTTCCTGGCAGGTGACTTACATGTGCTGTTGTCTTGCAAAGTTAGTTACGGTGGCTGAATGTTGGTTGATTGGGTTTGTACTTAGTTGTTGTCCCTTACATGATACAGAAATCGAGAGAGATTTTTCTCAGAAATCCAGCATTAGCAGTTAAGTCTAATTTAGCTGTTTTGTGTTCTTGAAGTGGATTAATATTCTTGAAACACAGTTTTAAGGCGTAAAGTGCAGTTGGATAAATGTGTGGTGTTTTTAAGGTTTTGTTTTGGTTTTTTTTTTGTCCCCCTAATGCTTACTGTGTTGTGCTGCCTTGGATCAGGGGTTTTGGAACTGGCCTCTTAAATAATCATTTAGACATCCACAGAAGTGCTTTTATTTTTTTTAATTGTACTGAGCAGCCAAGCACTTGATGCAGAGTGTGCATCAGACTGCTTTGAACCTCTGGAATATTGTGCTTAATAGGCATTTTACCCTTCATTGCAAAAGCCTCTAATGACTACTGGGGGACCCTCCAGCTTCTGACAATGTAAGAAGACTTGATTTTTTTTTAATTTTTTTTTATTTAGAAAATTCTTGAATGTCCTTTTAAAACTGCATCTGATGTTCAACTAAATGTAAATTGAACAACTAAATGTAAATTGAAAACGTATTTGCTTTTTAAAAAAAATTCTGTGTGTTAGTAGAGAGGGATCCATGCTGTACTGTGGCACTTACAGTGTACAGCCCACTGGGATGCTTGATATGAGATTTGAGTAGGTGCCTTTTTAAGACTGTCCTAGCAGAGGCTGACTTTTTTAGGTAATGGTAGCATACTATGAATATTGCTGTCATTGCCATACACTTCTGCTACAGGCTGATCTGACCTGGGCTGTTGTTCAAATGTGATCAGTATATGCCACTGAAATTATTTTAGTATTTTAACCTCATTGTAACAATGGCTTCTGTTACATGTAATTAAAACATTATTTAAATACCTATAAAGACAAAACCGGTCTGAGCATGGATTATGAGAAGGCTCTTAGTCATGTCTGTGCCTGTTCTCTAACCCATTGTCCTTTTTTGCTGGGTAGCTTTGCTTGGCTTTTATTAGTATGGGAAGTGTTGAGTGTTCCTGGGATTAAATGCATAATCAGCCCACTATATTCCTTTCAGGGGACTAAATTTTGCTGAATGTATCCAGTGTGTTGTGCTTATTGTTGGGATAATGTTACTCAAATTATTGTTCATAGTTTTAGAATTAAAATTAAAATGGACAATTACAGTAGTGTAAGAAATAGGCTGGCACTGGTATTCTAATACAGTATGTTGGGGGTTTCTACAAGGGAAAACCTATGCTTGCCTTTTGAAGAAAACAGCTTAATCCATGTTTAGGACAGGCTTGCATTCCCCAGGTTCACGAGCTGTAAGTTCTGTATGTGTTCATGGGGGTCACTGTTGGAGAGCTTGCAGGCCTGCATGGTGTTAGGAAATGGTAGCCTCCCTGCTGGCAAACACTGGTTTCAGCTTTGGACACTTGAGATTGTGACATGCAAGTGTGGATCTGCTATGAAAGAAGAGGGAAGAAACGTCTCATTATTCAATTTTCTGGAAGTCCATGAGAGTGATTGTTGTGGCAGCAGTGAGAAGATGGGAATTAAAACTGCCCTGTAACAGGAATAAACTGAAAACAATAGTATCATCTTACTTGACTTATATTTATGTGCATTTTATCTTTAAAGCGGAACTTTAAGCATGCGTATTTTATTCTGACATGACCCTTAAGCATAGACGCCTCTGAATTCATTAGAAAAACTGAGTGGTTTTTAGCTAAGACTCACAGAGCAAACCTGTCTTACTGAGCACTTTTTAAATATTTGGTGTTTGCTGTTAATTCATCCAAAAGCATAGTAGATTAAATGTGTTCGATACATGTCAAGAAATCCCATCTGCTGCTAAAGAATTTATTTGGTGAGCAGTAAGATAACAAAATGTTATGGTACTATGTAATTATACTGCTGAGTTTGAAGCTTGTCTGGATGTCCCTGTTGATCTGAAATCTATTTAAATGAGCACCTGAAGTACTGGGATGAGTTGGCATTGAAGCTTCCATGACTTTGCAAGTCTTTTTGGAAATAAGAGTTACTTAGCCCCAAAACACCAAAATGACAAACTCTGCAGGTATTTGGCAGTGCTTCTCATGACCAGTAGTAAGAACCACACAATGTTAAAGGAAACTTGTTAGGGTGACCGAGCTGGGATCAGGCATGTTCTTTCTGTTAGCCAGTGGTGACCTAAAAGCTTTAACCTAGAAAGCTATTTAAAACTTTAAATTCTTCTGAAAGAAGAGATTGAGTTACTGTTCTGATTATCTGTCTGAGTCTTGGCTATGTTTGTCAACAAATGCAGTCTTTTGAGGGACAGTAGTTTCCTTTGGTGAAAGAATCTAGTTTGTCCTGCTCCACATGGAGTAGAGTGCAGGGGCTTCACTGCTGGCTGATTGGATTTTATCAGTGTCTTTTTCCTTCTGAGGCAGCAAAATTCCAAGTATTTATGTTTTAACTAGATGGTAAATAATTTGCTCTTCTGTACCATAACTAAAATAACTGACTTACAGACTTTGAATTAGGCAAGCAAATTTTGAGGGAGAACCCACCCCTGCAACTGTTAATTGCATGAGTAGATGCTGAGTGCTGTTTGGAATTGGAGATGTGGGATATGTTTTTTCATAAGTTGTTGCTGTAGTATCTTAAAAAAAAAAAAGCAATCACACTGAACGAGTTCAGAGACATTTTTTTTTTTTTTTCTGAAGGAAACTAAAGTAGTCCAGCGGAGTAGCTGTAAGCAGTAAAGATTTAATAATTCCATGTAACTTTTTCACCCTGTCAGACTCTGTCACAAGTTTTGTTGTGTGTATACCTGACAAATCAGGTAGCATCATCAGCAGTTGCAGGAGTAAGAAACAAGCCTGATCTGTTTTCTTTCTCTCTTTCATTTTCTCTCTCTGTCCCCCTCTCCTCCTTCTTTTTCTCTCTTAAATCTGTAAGCTTAGTCCACAACCATCCCAAACAGCTTCATGGGTAGAAAATCAGATATAACAAAAGAAATTATTGCAGACGTTTAACTTTTAAATTACAGACTATCGATGGTCCCTGCGAAGTCATAGTTCACACGTGGGAGACTCATCTACAACCACGATCAATTACCCCTTTAGGTATGGGCATCAACTGCATCTGTTTGAGGCATATGCATAAGATTGCTAATATGCTGCACATTGGTTAGAGGGTTTGATAACTATAGTTTTAAAATACTTAAATTTATTGATGTGTTGGAGGTATAAACTCTTTTTTTTGCACAACATGGGCCTTACTCTCAAAATATATGTATATAAAGTGGCTTAAAAATGGAGTGGATGTGAAATTTTTTGCTGCCATCCTTAAGATTATGTGGGTTGTTTTTTTATTAATTCGGAATTGTAACAATTTTCTGTTAGTTTGATTATTTGAGACTAAGGATCCATATTATTTTTTCAGAGAAAATGTGGGGAGGGGGAGGGTGTGAAATCACTGCTGTTTTTATTTAACTGCTATTTCATTAGTAAAATTTTAAAGCAAAAATTCTTAGTTGGGCTTCTTTAAGTAAATGGATTCATGTAAATAGAAACATGAATGGGCTTATTTACCTGGCAGTTTAGCAGAAGTTTATTTTGCTGGAAGAAAAGGTGGCATGCAGACTTGCATTGAGTTCCTAATGCTTTTCTGAAAAGGGGAAAAGTTTGGGTCTTAAGAGGGACTGAAGTAACCTTTGAATGTAGCTTGTAATTTAGATCTCTTCTGCTTCTATGGGATGGCATGTTTTATACGCTGTTTTTCCTAGGCTATGAAAAATGTTATTTTGTCCACACTTAGGAGTTAACATCTATTAAATCCCTTCTGATGCATTGAAAAAATGTCTTTTGTAAAGAAGCTGGTATTAAAGAAACTGTTTATGAATAGTACCACGATCACATTTTCCTCCCCCCCCTTTTTTTTTTATTTAAATTGAATTAGTTAAGTGCATCTATTCCTGTAACAAGATTATGTTTCTGTATTTGTCAGTAACTGATTAGGGAAGCAGCCTACCTTCTGTTAGTGTCTAGACTTTAAATTTTGATAACTTCATTCCAAACAGTTCAGATATATTTCCCCTTACCCCCCGCCCCCAAAGTAATACTCAGTGCTTCTTAAGTGGTCTTTAAAAAAATGCAGCAAAACCAGGATGTTAGCACTTGGTCATTATGATGCTAAATTGTTGCCTGTGGTTATTAAAAATTGAGGGCAGGCCCATGACTATTCTTAGGAAAAAAAAAGGGGGGGGTTAATGGCTGTAGAGACAAAATTTTATTAAGATTTATGTTTTGAGAAGTGTAGAATTTGTTTAGACTACTGCAGTTCTGTTAATGCTTGTGAATTTACTTAGTTTTATCCTTACACTCTCCAAAGTTTTAGTAACTGAAATCTTAAGTCACTAAGTGTGAAATGAATGTTTTGAATATTTCATCCTAGGTTGGTTTCTGTCACCTGGGCAGAATAAGCATTTTAATTGTGACTAAGTTGATTTAGAAGCTTTAACTATCTTCTTGTATGTTTGCAAGAAATTTTAAGTGTCTTTGACACTAACAAGAAAAACATCATAGATTCTAGTGGAATGTAGATATTATCAGCAAAATACTGGAGCAAACTAGGAAATTATGCAACCTTCTTGCTTTTCTCAGTTCAGATTACTTCAGGTAAAACATCGTACAGCGTTTCACGTGTTGATTGGTTTTTCTTGTAGAAACTAAGAAAAAGCATAAATTGGGGACAAAGCTTTATAGAAGGTTGCAATAAACATGCTTATTCTTTGTTTCAGTTTTCCTACTTTTTATTATACTTTTTAGAAGTGAAATGGAAAAGTAGAATTAATTTAACTTGGTAATGATTCTTTATAATGTGAATATTAATTACTTTCTTTCATTCTTTTCCCCTCCTTTTAATTCTAGAAAATGAAATTACTATTGACGATGGATACTTTGGAATCCGTAGTAAGTGAGATGTATTGACCTTTACTCTTTACCACGTATTTAGTTTTAACAAGATTAGGTGTTGTAGTTGAAAAATACTAGAAATATTAAGCTAGTTTTGATAGGAATTGCCTGTAAGTGGTTTTCTCTGCTTACACAGCTATTTTTGTGTCCAGCACTTGTGAATTCACACTCAGGCTGTAATCCTTCTAAAGTTAATAAAAGACTGCTAGGAAGAGTTGAAGTGTTGTCAGTGTGCTGGTGTTAAACGTTGAAATTTGCAAACTTTAGATCATGTGCATGTATCTTTGGAAATACAGAATATAGACAGTTAGTTTTCTCTTAACACCTAGCCTTAGAAAAAAACTTTTTGTGCCTAGAAAAATACTAAATGTACACAACCTGCCTCTTCAGGTAGGCACATAACTGCCAAAACCTCTCATAAGCTCAAACCTCATGTTCTTGTGTGTGCGTATGTCTCGCTTCTGGCAGTTCTAACCCACCTCTTGCTTAATATTCAATCCTGTGGCGCCTCAAGTAACACTTTGTCATGTCATACATCATGTCTTAAAGCTTTTCCATTTTTTCTTGATATCTTCATTGAATGATAACGTTTTATTAGGAACTCTTCAGAACTGTGGGGTCTGCTTCAGCACCTGGTCTGGCAGCTTGGGCTTTCTGGCCGTCTTGCTTGTAGGCTTTCCTTGTCCTGATGGTGAGGTTGAGGGTTCTCCTCCATGCTTTGATTCCCCATTGTATCCGTTGCTGTATCCTGTCCTGCAGATTTACACTGCTTTACAGGCATTGATTATGATGAGCTAATTTGTATCTCAATAGAAACAGGGAGTCTCAAGTTGCTTATGATTCTTCAGGTTTTCTGTCATTGTTACTCCATGGATTGAGAGATTCCAGGGCAAGGGAACGTTATGTTTGCCTTTGGAGACTTAGCACTTGATACCATAAATAAAATTAACACTGGAATACTTAGTGCTGTCCTGCAGACAGTTTACATGTGAAGCTGGCGAGGATCATTGTTCCTATTTAATCCCTTTAAAAGCCAGCAAATGACTGCAGTATCTGTTGTCTATTCTGGGTAGTTCAGAACAGATAGGTGAGAGGATGCAGTTGCTCTGGAAATACTATTGAATAACGCTAGTGTTAAGGAGGATTGTCTGGAAGATGGTGCCAGAGGAACTGTATTTATATTTTGTATAATAAACTCTGTAGATATCCATAAAATAAGTTATTAAAGCGTCTTCTATTTTTTTTGTTTAATTTTTGATAGATGGTATTGAAACTGTGGATGCTGGGTGGCTGACATGTCAAACAGAAATAAGATTACGTCTGCATTATTCTGAGAAACCACCTGTAGTGATATCTAAGAAGAAATTTAAAACATCAAGGTTTAGGTAAGAGCCTGCTCATCTCAGTTTGCAATTTATCTCATGTTAGTTGTCAGTACTAGTGATTCTTTTTTACTTAATGTAGCCTTTAAATTAATTTTGGGTTGCTAATAGGGGTGTATTATCAGGCCAATTTCCAAGTATTTAAGCACTTTTTAAAAATATGGTGATAACATTAGACCAGTGGTGTGTTTCAGTTAACTCATTATTAATGTACTGTCAAAAGAGTTTCTTCTGTTTCAACAAAGGAAGACAAACACCCAAACAAAACCATTCTAGTGTTGCTGCTGACTTAATACTTTTCAGCTCTTGCCTTTCTGATAGTTATTAAGCTATTTAATGTATATAAAGCAGACATGTTATCACAAGTTAAGCAGTAGGTAACAGGTGTCTCTCACAAATATTTATTCCATACTTGCCTTGGTGTTTCCTGCTTCTTGTCTGGAACTGTAGTGTTCTTAAATAGTTCTCTGCTGTTACTTTCAGAGAGTTTTCTTGTTTGTTCTTTTTTTTTCTTAACTTTTTGAAAAGAGCAGAATGGAAGTGGAAGTTGGGGGAAAGGGAGAAGGCTTCCAGGTTTTTTGTTGATTACTACTTTTTATCCTTACCAAAGTAAACAGCCCTTTCCATTTAATACATGGTTAATCCTCTGCTGGCGTTACAGATTTCCAGTCAGCATGGATGGTGGAGATAATAGCATTCTCAAATCGCTTCTGTTGCTATTTAGATCAGTTTGATGGTTTTTATCTGCAGAGGTGTCTCAAAAAGCAGTTGACTGACAGAAGTGTGTATCTTAGTCCTGATGTTTTGAGGACTGCGCTATTGCCCCGAGTATTTGATCTCCTTCCCCTATTGAATTTCTGGGACCTGGAGCTTGCTCTCTGTTTCCTGCCTCCTGTTGCGTGTGCATGCACACCTACTCCTCCCCCCCCCGCCCCACCTGCATCTTTCACAGTCTTTTTTTGTAGAAAAAAAGAGTTGAGACTTACAAAAAATCCTCTCCTCCTTAACTAGAGCCCGAGACATCTCTGAATGCTTGATGATGGTTACTACTAACAATCCTCAGTAAAAGTGCTTTTTCATAACAAAATTTTTAGGTAGTTTGTTAGCCATGTCTTACCAATGGGAAAGAGGGGAGCAGGAGTGCTCAGATCCTTTAACAGACTAACTGTTTCTCCCTCTAATCTTGGATACAACCTGCCTTCTTGTTTGGAAAGGATAGTGTTTCCCTGTTTTCTTTAATGGAAAATATTAAAAAAAACCAAACTGATTTGTATTTAATTGCTAGAAATCAGACTTTGAGTTTGTAATGTTGAGCAACTTCCAGCAAAGTGATTTACAGATCACTCAGTTAACCTGGGAGTTATTTCTGTACTGTGTGCCTTACTTTGATCTGACACTTTTAAAAAATTTTTATCCTGCCCCCGCCCCCCCCAATTCCAACTCTTCTGATGAGGGGAAAGGTTATTTAATACAACATTCTTCAGTGAGAATTAATACTTATGTCCTCTCCTCTAGAGCTTTGCAATTTTTTCCTTGTGTGTTATGACAGGTAGAGAGAACAATTTCTGAAGCCTGATCCTTGTCTAAATTAGATGGCTGAATCCAGACTTGATAAGCTGGATGAATTCATTAGATACTCTGTTCTCCACATTCTGCCTAAAAAGTTAGGTAGCTTTTGTGACTCACTTGCTATGACAGTGTTATTTTTAAAGTCTGTAGAGCATCTGTGTTGTGACCTCTTTTGTCATGAGGGTATTTACAATATGGACCTAGTGTAAAGGACTTCTATGATTTAATTGTTTGTTTGAGATATGACTTCAGTTTTACTAGTGAATTGGCATCTAACTAAATGATAACTTTTTAATCTTGTCTGTTGCTTAGATGATTCAGAAAGGTATTTAGATTATTCATATGTGCTTCCATCACTGGCATAATTCACTCTGGAAGATTTGCTCTGTATAATAACAAATTCTGAGTCTTGGCGAGGCTTATTCTTCTCAGTCCAGGATTTTTCAGAAATTGCATTCAGTATATGTTTAAATGGTAATTTAGGATTTCTCGAGGGACTTCCTAATTACTTCAGAATATCTTGTTTATGTCTAACAGAATACATGTATCTGACTTATTGGTGTTCAGAGAGACTTAAAGTTGTGTCTGTGCACTTAGCAGCAGCCTCCAATGTTCAGGTATTGATCTTGATTGCTGCTGTTTTCAAGTGTTCTTAATTAGTCTTTTGGCATTATGGGTATCAATCTGTGGAGAAAAGCTGTCTATTTGGCAACTCAAATAATTAGTTTGGTGGAGAGCTGCTTCCCAGACTATTACTACAGTTTTTGCATTTATCCAACTTCCAGTTTTAGAAGTGACCTGAGCAATTAAATCTGACTGAAATAAGATTTAGACAACAGCTGCAGCCTCTAACTTCTGTGAGGGCCTGCTGCGTACACTGCTCTCCTGTAGATGGCGGTGTTGAGAAGAATTCTTGTGCTGTATGATCTTCTGCTCAAGCTTCCTTCTAATTCTTCAGTATTTCTAAAGGCACTCCTGTGACTTAACCATTTGTTTTGTATTTCTGGTTGATTAGAGTAAAATTGACTCTAGAGGGCCTAGAGGAAGATGAAGATGACGAAGAGGGCCAAGAGAAAACATCCCCTACTGTCCCTCAGAAAATGGCAAACACTGTGGAGTTCTCCTTAATAAGTAACAACGAATATAAATGTCGACACTCTCAGCCAGACTGTGGCTATGCTTTGCAGCCAGACCGATGGATAGAATACACTATACAAACCATGGAGCCCGATAACTTGGAATTAATCTTTGATTTTTTTGAGGTATGTCTGTTTACCACTAAGAAGCAACTCCAGTCTGCCTTCAGAAGTTTAAGGAGTCAATTACCATGAAGATTTCACTATTAGGATAGGGCTATTGCCCGATATTCTTAGATCTTTTGGACTTGTGTAAACAAGCTATGAGACCATTGGGTACTGCCCAATTTTGCTGAAAGGTTTTGTGAGTCGTCTTTGTGGTACAGAAAGCTTTGCAGTTTCTGCTTCTTTAGAAGTCAGTACAAGTAAGACTCAAGTCTTAGTGTGCAGCATTGCATGTAGTTAGGTTGGCTTGATTTTTATCCTTTACCAGAGATCAGTTTTGCTTGTTCTCTTTTAATCTGAGCAATGTGTAGATGTACTAGTTAAATTGCAAGTATTTGAGCTTGATTTTTACATTATAAACAAAGGGATTTCTCTGAACCAGTGCAAATTAAAACAGTGTGCTTCCCAATTCTCACTACTATATCTATTATTTTGCACTTTTTTCCTGAAAGATTTTAATATTCAAAGTCCTTTTAAAAAGAAGACAACTTTTGTCTCTTCATACTGTTGATAGATCACTGTTCATAATTGTAAGGTGAATACATAGTTTCTGAACAGGATGATGGTAAAGAAATATATGCTCTGCATGCTAGTTGCCCTCTTCCTTCCCTGCAAATGAATGTTATTTTAAGCATATATATTATTCCAGTTCATCTTTGTTCTAAACATGACTTGGGCTTTTTAGAAGACAGACTATTCCACACATGCCATTTTGATCTGAAAAGCTTATAAAATCCAAGAGTTTTCAAAGACAAATGTACATGATTTCCTAGATTTCCATCAACAATTTCATATTCTTTGCATATTCTTTCATATTTTTGCAACATACTGTTATAGTAAACAATTTTTAGCCTGAAATTAACCTTTTCTGTAGCACACAAGAAATTTCCGTTACATCAGTGCCTGTCTGCATCTTCCTGAGGAGCTAGGTTTCCATGAGAAAGAAGAGTTTGTTTAGCATTCTCGCCTACATATAACGTTAGGTGTTTTGGGTTTTTGTTTCTTTTGTTTTTAGGAAGATTTGGGCGAGAAGGTAGTACAAGGCGATGTGCTCCCAGGTCATGTAGGTTCTGCCTGCCTCCTGTCATCCACAATTGCAGAACTCGGAAAGAGAGCTGGAATTCTTACACTTGCTATTATGAGCAGAAATCCAAGGAAGACAATTGGAAAAGTTAGAGGTACGGTTGATGCAAACAGATATAGATAACTTTACTGGAAATCATCCGTTGTCTATTGACATGTGAAGCATTTGGTATTTTTCTTGTAGTGGACTACATAATTATTAAGCCGATCCAGGGATACACTTGCGATATGAAGGCTTCATATGCAAAATATTGGAAACCAAGAACAACTTTAGATGTTGGACACAGGGGAGCAGGAAATTCTACAACAACAGCTAAGTAAGTTCACTTGCATTTTAATCTGGGAGGGGTGTGTATGTTTAGGTTCACTGACATCAATTGTGGAAGTGGACAGTTTAAAATAAAAAGCTACAACCCATAATCATTTAAGTCACTTCAATATCAAATGTGGATTTTCTGTAAAACAAAGACTTTTGATTTGTATTTCTGTTGTTTCAATGGACTTCTGTGCCATGCTGCATCTAACATTTTTCTCTGCTGTTATTTCAGACTTGCGAAAGTTCAAGAGAACACCATTGCCTCTCTGAGGAATGCTGCTAGTCACGTATGTACGCACATTTGCACACACCCATATACTTAAAACTTGCTTGGCTTGTGTGTTTAACTTCCATGATTCGATACAATGAATGGTAATTGCACTGATACAAAATTACATCAAATCACCATGGAAATTCCCTGAGAGACAGGAAGGGAATTAATAGCTAGATTAGACTCTCATTCTCAATTTTTTCAAAAAAAACCCAGCTTCCATCTGGTGGTGTTCTAATACAGGGAAAATTTTAATCTCAACCCTGCAGAGACATGGGTTGGAATAATTTTGAACAAACGAATAAAACTTTGGCTCTGCTAGAGTTTGTCAGTATGGTCTTAGGTTGCAAAGGTCTCGCTCAGGAACTGCTCAGTACCTAAAATTGGTGTCCAAAAATCAGACTTGGGAGCTGAGCTGGTAGAATAAAACAATTCTTTGTTTCGGTGCTTGCTACAGTGAAGACTTTGAATCCTAAGATGAGACTTTCAGTTTGGGAGATACTAGTTTCAGGTGCTTAAATTCTGTGATTGAGGTGGTTGCTTTTATTCGTTCCAATAATCACAGATCACTTTAGTGACAGAGATAAGACTGATCTAGACAACATAGTGAGGCACTGCAGCGGAGTAGCTGGAGTCAGAAGCACATTCAGAGGTTCTTTGTCTAGCTCCAGTTTTCACAGTGAAGAGCTGTGGTTACAGTTACATAAAGATGCTGCTATGAGATCACCTGCCGCTTAACTAGTAGGGATCCTAAGCCTTTTCAGGTACTTTTTCACCAATGTAGATTCTTACAAAACATCTTTTGAAGTTAAATGGGTAGGAGCAGGATCTAGAGTATTATGCTTATTGGCTACTGATTCTGGAATACTGTGCTCCCCACGAGTCAAAGCTGAAAGCTTTCTCTCATTTGGGAGTCAGAGTATAATTTGAACACAGTGCCTGGAACATGCACTGACCGCAGAGCAAAAGAAAAGTGCAGCTGCTAAATGATCCTTCTGAATGATAGTTCTTCATTTCTGCGCGGATGCTGCTAGCTTAAAAGCTTTTAAAAAAGTGCACAAGAAGTATGCATTCAGGCCGAAATTTACTATGAAGTAGTCAGCAGCATCACCAGAAAAGTATTTTAAACTATTTGCAGATTGAAAAGGCTGAAAGCTGCCTCTCTTAAAATATTACACTGAGAAAAGGGCTGAAAAAAGCCTGTCCTGTTTTCTTTCTGTACTGATTGAAAAAGTATGTGAGTCAGGATCATAATTCGATGAATATTATTCTTGGAGACCTTTCAAAGGAATGATTTAAAGACAGTGAAAATAAGTAAAAAAAAAAAAAAAAAGTGTCTTTATCTCTTTCTTTCTGGCCCTCTCTCTTTTCAAAAAGGTTGTACTTGGAGCTTTTGTTTGGTCTTCCTTCCTTCTTAAGCTTAGCAGAAAATAACATACAGTTGAAAAAGATAGGAGAATACTGGATGTAGCTATTTCTGCTCTTGCCTATGTTAGTAACGCAGTAGTAGTGCATTGTCACTAATGACTCCAGAAGCTCCTCAGTATATGGAATATCTCCCTGAAGCTTTAGCAATTTGTAGCAATCGCTTGGCTCGTGGTGGGGAGGAGGGAGGAAGGTCACTGCAAAGGCATGTCTGTTTAAAAACATCATCTTAGCATTTCTCTGAAATCAAGTTTACAATACTTGAATGTTACTAGAGGGTTTACAAGGTTAAGCAATGTATGTATATCAGAGCTGCATTATCGTAATTAAAATACTTTCCCATGTGATTTTTTTTTTTTTCATTTGTAATCCGTTGTTGAGTATGGTTAAACTGGTAACAGCCAGTTGCATTCAACTTCTGGTTGATGTCCAGGACCTGTGAATACTCTCAAATTGTCTGCAGTTCTGTAGTCCTTGTGCATAAAGAGCTAATGGGTTTTGGTTTATTCTGTGTGGTTTTAATTTTTCTCTAGGGAGCAGCATATGTGGAATTTGATGTACATCTTTCTAAAGATCATGTCCCTATTGTATACCACGATCTCACATGTTGCATGGCCATGAAAAAGGTAAAGATGATGATATTTGTATTTTATATTTAAATGTTACCATTCCAGAAACTAAAACACCAATCTCTCATAGAAATAATTCTGGGGAATCAAGAGATGGAATGGGAATAAATACGCATAAAATAAAGTGGAGAAGTTGAGTTTTTCCTTTTGATGTTGTAGCAACAGCATTTCAGATGCATGGTTTGAGACTCTTCAGGCCTACATTGTAGTGGGGTTTTGGGGTTATTTTTGGCTTTTTTTATTTATGGTTTGGAAGAAAAATGCAGAGAACTCCACTATATTCAGTAGCACCTCTGGGATTCTTCTAGACTGTCAGAGTAGTAACTTCTGGTTGTTTCTTTTTTGAGGGAGAGTTAGTGTGATTCTCAGTATGACTTCTCACTCCTGCTGATACTTAAATGTGTACTTCTTGAGCATATACTCATAAGTGCTCTTTAGGTTAAACTGAAATCTACCTTGTTTGGTATCTCAGTAGTGGCCAGTAGATGGGAAGTAGAAAAGCGGAAGAAACAAGAATCTCCTTCATTTAGGGAGTTTTATTAGCCACAAATGGCTTGGCTTCCATTAGTTTTTTCTAACTCTTTAACCCTCTTTTACTTGGCATTTTGCTCTGTCCTTTAACTGTGAGGTAAACAATATACTTCATGTCTCGTTGGGACACTCAGTGAGGCTGAAGCACTGCTTTTGGATTGCTCGGTGGAACAGAAGGAAAGGAGTTAAGACAGAGGTTCTAGAAGCAGGAAAATGGCTCTTGAAAGCAAGTGTCCTGTTCCTTTCCTTGTTTAACCTCATGAGAGTATAGCTGTTGTTCCTCCTTTTTTAATCAAAACCCCTTTTCTGCTGTTTTTGTGTTGAGTACTATAGTGTAAGAAGCAGTGAACAGTACTGTTACTTGTACATACAGATAAGCATTCCTTAAAAGGTGCTCTGAACAGACTAACAGAGTACCTCTTAAATACCTAAGTTCTATGAAACATAACAATTGAATGTTTTCACGGAGTAAAGTGACATGACACTCTGTAATAAAGAGAGAGCCGTAGGCATAAGGACCAGTGACACAAAAAAAACCCCCACTGAGGTGCTTTTCTGTCTGGTCTGTTGCATGTTCTCCACTAAGGCCAGGATGCTTGCATTCAGCAGCAGTGCAAAGAGGTTGGACTCTGTTCTGTTCTACTTTTCTTTTCTAGTTCTGGCAGTGAAAACAAGGATAGCGTGGGAGGGCAGACTGCAAGCTAAATTCTCTCTTCTTGGCACTAAGTCTGCATCATCAATCTCTCACACCCATTGCGATATTGCAATTTATATGAAGCTTGGTTTTGCAATTTATAAGAAGCTTGATTTTGAACAGTTTTGGAAATGGAACTTTAAGGGAAATGCATATTAAGTGTATATTGAATCAGTATTGTTTTGTTGAGTAAAAATGCCTTTATAGTGAAGAGGGGAAATGGAAAGAGATTGACAGAATCTCTTTGACACCAGATCTTTATTTTAGAGGCAGGGGGTGTGCGTCTCAGTTTTACCAGGACACTTGCCTTTTTATTAGTTTGAGACACTGGGTAGACAATGATAAAGTAAACTGCTTTGGAGTGGTTTTTAATACATTTCTTTGCTTGCAAACTTTTTTCCTGAATACATTAACTGATCAAATTTTTACAGAATAAATGTGCTAACCTTTTATGAATAAAGAACATGAAGCCTCTGACTTGCATGAAAGACCAGATTCTGTTTTTTCAAATCGGCACCTGTTTTGTGCTTCTGAGTGCCTATGTTGTCTCCTGAAAACTGATCATCTTGCTCATATTATATCATATCACTTGTATCTTTAGCAATAAAAGAGAAAAAATTAGTTGCCTTTAATGTTACCATATTAAAAGCATGTAGGCTTCTTTGTAGTTTTCAGTGGTGCTTAATTATGCATTATTTCTCTTCAAAGAAACTGGACACAGAGCCTTTGGAACTGTTTGAGATTGCAGTCAAAGAACTCACTTTTGATCAGCTACAGTTATTGAAGGTATTTTTCTTTGGCTAGTATGATATGCTATGTGTATAAATTTCAAACTGTGTATGAAGCTTAGACTTTTTTGGAGTAACTGTAGATGGTTTGAGAGAGTGCAAGTTTTAAAAATTGTACAAGTAGAACAAGTAGCTAATTGCAAGGATAGTATTTTTGCACCATCATTACAACTTGAATAACTTTCATTACTTACATTTTCTAGAAGGATGGTCTGACAGCTTTTGTAGGTCCATATCATTATGCTAACATTGATAATATAAAAAAAAAAGGTTGAAAGTGGTGGTAGGGAGTCTTTGAAGAAGAAAAATATCTGTCACAAAGTCTATTTAATTTTCAGAAATTTCCCTGTTAACAAGGGAGATGCAGGTTATATTGAACTCCGCTTTGGAGGTGCGTGTGGAGCTGTAGAAGGGTCCATGATTCAGTGGTATTAATTGGACAAACTGTCTACAACTAATTGATTGGTTTTATTTAATTGCGTTATCACTGGATCTTCCGAACAGAAGTGCCCTGCCTACATAAAAAGGGGGTCAGGGGATGAGATTGGGCCACTGTAGACCCAGCTGAAATATCTGTCCTCAGCCAAGGAAGCATCTGGCTGATCCAAGAACTATGTTTCTTTTCACTTAAAATTACTTGTCTCCTCCTTTTTGTGGAGAGGGAATTTGAATGGAGTGAGGGAGTTGCCCTATGCCTGGCCTGCTTCTATCTCAGTATGTGACTACTTTATAAAATCTCTGTTGGCCCTCTGTGTGCACTTGCTTGGAAACACAAGAGTCTGAACATCTGACAGAGGAGGGTTTAATGTTCAGACTTCCTCATATCTTAATGTTATTAACTATGTTTTGTGTGTTTCTACTCTTGAACACATTTTCTGAATTTTCAGTAAGAACATTTTCAGTTTGGTTTTGAGCTTTCCTTGGAAACTTTACATTTTAAAGTTTGAAAGAAAATTGTGATGTGTACTAGTATTTATTCTTTTACAAATTACTAAAATGGTAAACCTTTAAACGTGGAAACAATTTATAAGGAAAATTAGTTATATTTAACATGTAGTAAGATCTCTATGGGCAGAGTATTTGTTAATTTTACTCTTCTTATGCTCTTCAGCTGGCTCATGTGACTGCCCTGAAAGTAAAAGATCACAATGGTATGTACTAGTTTGCAGAGTCTTAAGATTGATTTATTCCCATGTAATGATATATACTCTGTGGCTACAGTCACTTGTTTTAATCACATTTGGCTTCTTCCTGAACATTTCTAAATGCTTACATAGTTACTTTAATTTTGTAGAGTTCTTTGCTGGAAAGTAAATACCTGGATGGCAGTTATTCCCTGGGGAAGAGGGGACAGGAGGGTAGAAAATGAATGCATAACTAAATATATATTTATGAAAATTCTTAACAAAATTCCTACTAATATTTCCATCTTACACTCCTCTAACTGTACCTTTTTGACAGCTCTTCAGCATTGCTAACACAAACTTTGGTAACTGCTGTAGGGTGTCTTACTGATGCTGTAAATTTTTGGCCTTGATTAATCCCCTTTATAGGGACAACACAATCGGGCAAATTCTCACACATCCTACCTGTCTGGGAAAAGATAAATAATAAGCCTTGACGGGCAAGACTGCTTCTACTGTATGTGATTCAGTGACTGAAACAATGAGGGATGGGGGAAGCTGCTTCTGATTAATATTCTGGCAAGACTTGGGGGTGTGTGTGTGTCAAAAAACTTTCCCACTGGCAAAACAGGAATTGGCTAATGCTATCATTGGAGTAAGTCAGTGTTAGGGGGAAGGCTTATGTAATCAAAAGTTGGACATGATTCCATTCTTTACTCTTAAAGGCCTTATGATTTTGAGCCAGTCTCTTCTTGCTGGGATTAGCAGTGCTATTTGTTTTGATTCAGTATTTTGTATTTCTTTTTAGCATCTTTTAAAGATGAAGAAAATTCTGCTTTTGAGACCCAGCCATTTCCTTCTCTGCAAAGAGTAAGCAGTGAATGTAGAGCAATAGAGATGATGGTTGTGGGACATGAAAACATGCATTTTTCTTTCAGCTTTGCACGCATAGTAAGGGATATTAATTTTTGGGTTTAGGCCTCTGATATCAATGCTGGAACTGAGAAGACAGGCTTTATTATTGGCCACTGGAGCCTTTTCAGCACTTAAAAGTAACAGTTTGCATATCTTTCAAGCTTCTTAATTCATGAACCCAAGTTGTATATCGCAGGATACACACAGTTTTACGGCTGGTTAACATCTGGGCATTGTGTTTTAAAATATCAACAATTGTTTGCTAATTTTGGAAAAAAACCCCTGGCCTTTGGCAGTTCATTGCATACTTTTGGCCATCCAGCAGAGCCAGACATAGAGAAATTATAAGTGAAGTTCTAGTATGTTCCTGTTCATGACTATTTGCCAGCTCTGGGCTTTGTATATTTTTCACAGAAACAACTGTCCAAAACTAGTTTGGTCATACAATTCTTCACAAGAATTTCACATACTTTTTTTTTCTCATCATCATAATGGCAAGCTCATGGGTTTCATACTTAGGACTATGTGTTACTTAAGATACTTTTTGCATTCAAAAGAACTTCCTGGAGAAGTAAAAATGTTTCTTTTTTTTAGGAGTACAAATGGGGCATTTCTCAGACATGTTAAGGTGAATTGACTTGCATTTTTACCTTGTCAAAATTTTGTCCTTAAGGTTTTATCCATTTTTCTGTATTTCCTAACTTTAAACTGAAGGAAAAAAAGGTGTAAATGTTAAAAACTTGGGTTTTTTTAGTCTACTGTTAGACCCCATTGGTGTTAAATTACAATGTATTCTTCTAGTAATTAGCCTGACAGTTGTCGTCCTCTGCTATGGGGTGTCTTCATAGTGAAATTTTTTCAGGTCCTGGAGTCTGTTTCTGAAGATGTTGGGTTCAACATAGAAATAAAATGGATCTGCCAACAAAGGGTTAGTAAATGTACATGTGATTTACTTTGATACTTTACCATTCTTATAGCTAAAGCTTGTCATTTGACATGGCAATTCATGAGTTATAAACAAAGGCATAATTTGGTGGGGTTTTGTGACTTTTGTTTTGTTATAACCCACTGTCTTTAAAAGTGGGAGTATAATAGCACCACTAGCAAATGAACAAGCTTACTCTTAAAACAATAGGAAGTATTTATAGGACTGAGTTCATAATGTGGCTGAGATTGCTTTTAGTAGAAGACCTTTTTTAAAGTGACTAGATCACAACAGGTCAGGCATGCTATATATGGGAAAAGTGACAAGAAATTCAAACTCTCTTGGCCTGGTGCAGGAGCAGCTACAACATGGTGCAGTAATACAATGAATTGTTTCCTTCTAGTCAGCAGTACTGCAGACTCAGCTGGATTGCTTAGCACTTGGTCTAGAAGGATTGTCAAAGCTAGAACTGGAAGCCTGGAGCAGGAGAAAGAAACTAAGTAGAGTGGTAGGTAGAAGTCTGTATGCATGGAGACCCAGAGATGGGTCAACTGCAGAAAGACTGGTACCTGCTATTCTCAAAGACAAAGGATATCTCATTTATTTCTGCAAATCTTGTTGTTGTTTTTTTATATGTAGGAAAAAGCAGTACAAAATGGCTCTAATAGTTTTTAGTGATCTTTCATGGAATTCCTTTGTGTTTTCAAAATTAGAAAAGGCTTCACAGAAACTCTCCCTGCATGGGAAGATGGTGAATTTTTCAGTGAATATTATTGTGGCTAGAATTCATCTGCTCCTCACAGACTGACAGTCCTGTAGAGCTGTAACTAGCATTCAGTAGACTGGAGGAGTGACTTCTGTGTTCAGACTTGCAAACTGAATTTTCGTTTTGCTCAGGCTGAATGAAAAACCATGGCTTCTTAAAATAATTTTAGTAAGCGTTAATTTAAATGGCTGAAATTTGTCCTTTCTTTTTATAGGATGGACAGTGGGATGGCAACTTGTCAACTTACTTTGATATGAACCTCTTTCTAGATATTATTCTAAAAACTGTTTTAATGAATGCTGGAAGAAGGAGAATTGTATTTTCTTCTTTTAATGCAGATATTTGTACAATGTAAGTTGAGATATACAATGTATATTTTTTTTTTTGTATTTGATAATATTTACTTTGGACATAAGAATACCTAACATAACATACATTGGGATTAGATTTAAACTTGGGGTGCCAAAATAGTTGGGAATTGAAATGAGTGATTAGATCACTTTGCCATCTGAGCTGTGCCAGAAATAAAATAGGAGAACAAAGTCAAAGTACATACTTTTGTCAAGTGCCTTCCTGAATGCTTCAGTCTGTCTTGACAACTAAAAAGACTGAGAATTCCTCTGGTATCACAAAGTCTTTTTCAGTCATGCTTAAAGGGTATGCAAGCCTAATTTACAAACAAAATTAATTTTGTTACATTTTTTTCCACTATGTCTGCCTTTTAAAAAGGGCAGAAAATGAAATGGCTTTGAATTACATGTGTTTGGTTTTTTAAGCGGTTTGTTTTCCTTCTGTGTAATGTCATACTGAAGGTATTGGAGCACAGAAAAGCATAGGCGTTGAACTGGGGAACAGTTGGGATGCATATGAACTAACAATGTGCTGTAGTACTTCATAACAAGGAGTGATTTAGCACTATTAATGAAAGGCTTTACGAAAATCTCATTTGATGAAATACCACTGAAGGGTAAATGGGAAGGACAAAACCAAATCAAGGTACTGATAAAAGGACTAAGGAACAAGTGTGTAAGAGCATGTAACATGCTAATCCCAAAACTTTGCTTCCATCTGTTTTCATTTTATACCACCTTCTTGGTATCAAACAAGAAAAACATGTCAATAAGGTTAGGTGTTGTATATTAAATGTTTATAAACTCTTACAATGAATGTTCATTCACTCTTCACACTGCATTTAAGAAGAAAATTACAGAATTGGATAGTCTTCAAGGATTTTTGAATATTTTGAGGATCTGGATCCGAGTTCAATTTGAAGTCTAGCTTCTCTTAAACTGTGTATTAATCTCTAATTAACAGTAAAAGTAACACAGAACAGTTTGTCTGCATATTTTCATACTAAACGGTAGTACTGTATTGTCACACCAGCTAGGATTTGGAAGAACGTGCAGTAAAGGGTGTAATCCTCCTCAAACAGTAAGATTGAATTTCTCTGCTTTTTCATAGATTTGCAATTTGTAAACTTTTTTTATGACAGGGTTCGGCATAAGCAAAACAAGTATCCTGTGTTATTTCTCACCCAAGGAGAATCTAAACTCTATCCAGAACTTATGGATCTTAGATCTCGTACAACTCCAATTGCCATTACTTTTGCACAGTTTGAAAACTTGCTGGTAAGCTGACAAGCTCTAGTATTAATCTGCAGTAAAATGAAGCTAAATTATTACTACTTGTTAATCCATAATTTTTGACACTAATGCATAAAATTACAAACACCACCACAAAAGAAATACACTAATATTTAGTAACTGCCAAAATAATGTCTGTTTCAATGTCTGTATAATACATTGTTAAATAAATAGTGCTATCAGTAAACTCTTTAATTGTATTAAATTATTTTTTGTTAATATTATTATGTATGAAACTGTAAGGAGTTGCAAATGTCAAAGGATTAAAAAACTGAATATGAGAGTTTTTCAGAAACATGGATTTTAATTGACATGTTTTATATTTCAGGGAATTAATGTGCACTCTGAAGATCTGTTGAGGAATCCATTGTTTATTAAAAGGGCCAAATCTAAAGGGCTGGTGATTTTCTCATGGGGTGATGATGCAAATGACCCAGATAACAGGAAGAAACTGAGAGAATATGGTGTTCATGGGCTAATATATGACAGGTACTTCACTGTGTTTTAAAAACAGTATTAATAACAATAAAGCTGAGACATTATTGTATCTCGGTACCTTGTGAAATTTTGCATTAGTGCAGAACATCTTCCTTTGGTACTGTAAGCACAACAAGCCCATAACCCCAGTTCCAAAAAGACTAGCACTAATTCCTACTCTTTCAGCTGTATATATGAAGCAAAATAATGTTTGCTTCTCCCGAGGTTAATATGAATATAATTTGATTCTCTAAAGAACTAGCACATGGCATACGCATTTAATGTGCTATTAACATTCCTAACGGTAATTCTTAAAATCTGTACATGACACGGTGAGGACAATGTTGTTAACTGTTTGGCTGAAATTTCCAGCTTTCTACATTTGGTTATGGAAATAGTTAACACAACTTTCATTATTTTAACTTAATTTTTTGCCAACTTTCTGTTCTGTTTCAAAGCTGTGAATTCACTATTTTTCCTATTAAAGTTAGCTTGGAGCAATTCCCAGGGCAAACTGCCAAATTAGCCACTTCAGAAAGTAGTTGTTATATCCACACAATTCACATCAGAATACTGTGGTAAATCTTTGAACAAAAGTGTTATTTATTTCTTTACAAAGCCAAAAAGTTTTAGCTCTTTTATCATAAAAAAAAAGTGAAATTAATTATTACAAGATGCTGATTAATTTGGGAAGCTGTATTAAATTAGACTTTCTGACAGATTACAATGAATATGTAATTTGTGAAAGCATTGTGTAACTGGAGTGTCAAATTATAGGGGAATTTTAAACCTTTTGCTTTAGTAAGGGCATGGTTTTGCATATTGTTTTACCTGATGGGGGGAAGGGAGGGAAATCAAGTAATTGTCAAGGACTCAGGCTTATAAAGTGAAAACTGAGAGTCAAGGTAACGTATCCAGAGGCAAGAAATCAAATAGTTTGCTTTAAAGTTCTAGGCTGCCAGAGTAAAAAAAATAGTTAACTCCCTTCAATCTTTTTTTGACCTTTGGGAGTTCCTTCCAGAGTGGTGGCTCGAGCACTTCTCTGGTTTGCCAGAGGTCTCCTTTCTTGTACTGTGTAGTATGTCTCCTTTTCATTGACGGTAGAAAGGAATAACAAGGTTTTTACACTGGGGATTAGCTTCAGACTGGTCATTGAAGCATAAATCCTCTTTCCTGCTATAGCAGTGCTACATGTTGTACCTCACCTACTACAACTCAAGATTGAGGCCGCTTTAGTAGATGGAAAAATAAATCTCTCTGGACTAGCATGCAGATGAAATGGTACTCTTGACTCTAGTGTACAGTCATAGGGTTGTTATGAAATTTGATCGTATGGTATGTATAACGAAGTGATAAATTACTGGTCCATAGTCAGGTGGGGTGTAAAGTGTTCTTACAAAATGTCTGTTCATCTGATGTCTACTGGTCCAGTCTTCTAGAGTTCTTAATTACTCCTGGTGTAACAGATATGCACTACTATGGTAAAATAGTAAAACAGGTGATAGCTTTATTTCTGACTTCATGTTGGTTTTATTACTTTAGATACTTAATTGTTCAACATTACTTAAATAATGTTGCATTCATGTCAAGGCTGCAAGTCTGCTACATGTCATCTTATATTCAGTTTTGTACTCTTTAGTGTGTGTTAAGCTGCAGTATGATAGCAGAACACCTTTTGCCTCACCTTTTGATGACTAACCAATGCATTGGAATAGCTTATAGGTTTAATTCCCTTGTGAATTTAACTGAACAAAAAAGTCTTAGTCTTCCTGCACTATTTAGGCCATCTACATTCTCAGTAGCATTCATCTCTCACTGCCTGCTGCCTGTATGCCTTCCACCTTGTAGACATCTTTCCACTTTACTGAGAGGAACCCCAAAATTAATAGTAATTCCAAAGTTGTTTAAAAAACAGTAGTTCAGTGGTGCATTTTTTCCTTTATTTTTCAAGTTACAAGCTGCAGTTGAGTAGCAAAAAATTATCATCTTTCTGTGTAATTGTTTCAAGCTCGTTAACTCTAATTTCTAAATGTTATTGACCTTTTTTCTGTAGGTCAAAACAAATACTGGAATGTTCCTTTATAGTTTGTAATTATTTTTCAAAATTTCTAAAACTTCAAAATTTCTAACTGTCTGAATAAAATTAACTTTAATCTTAATAGTTTCTTTAGAAGGAACAGACACTTTTTAAAAAAATTGCATCCAGTGTCTCAAGCTGGAAATTCTGAAATGCAGGTGGTACCTGCAAGTCCTGGATGGCATGTCTAAACGTAAAACCTGGCAGCAAGTGTTTCCATTCACAGTTGGAGCTGCTGGTTAAAGAGGCAGTCTCTCACATCGTTTGAGAGTGTGAAGTTAATATTATGAATTTAAATTGTCAAAAGTTTAAATAGCTATGGTGTAAGCATCCATATTCTATGCTGTTTGAAGTTTAGAAATAAGTAAATTCAAAACTACTGTGAAGCAGAACTCGGAGAGATGTATGTGCCTGTTTCGAGGCCTAGAAATAAGTAGGGACTGTAGTAGTCTGCTTATTAGTGTAAAGCCATTTTATGCTACAGTTGCCATCTTCAAATTCCAGAATATTTCCAGGGCTGAATCGAGATGTGCTTCTTCCATGGCTTCTGCAGAATTTTTGTTCTTAAAGCCAGGTCCAGATACTTATCAAAAATTGCTGTGCCTGGTGTTTTGTGTGGCTGTTTACTAGACCTTTGCTTAAAACATTTTAGGAAGTGTTACCTGTCTGAATAAGCTAGCAAGTGAACACAGGAATTTTAGTGAATTTTAGGTTGCTTGGATATATGGTCCTGAGTTATCGTTACTGCATGTGGTAATTATGTCAAAGATTATGAACTGTCTGGGTAGAGATGATTTCTGCAAGTTTATTTTTTCCGAACTTTAATCATCCATGTAGAGTTGAGCAAAACATTGTAGCCACTTGTGAAGATGGCAGAAAAACTGTGTCCTGAATACCAAAAGTTGCTGATACCAAGTGTCGGGCAAAAAAACCCGCAGGTAGGGGGTGTCTGACTTTGTTTTGCATGGAGAAAAACCGCAAGACTAAATCTGCGAAGCTTCCAAATGCCAACGCTGTTCAAAGAACAATCTCACTGGGGCAGGGGAAAGAATTTTTTTTTCTTAATTTCTTTTTTTCCCCATCCAGTCCTTTCTCCACTTGGGCTGCAGATTATTAGACATACCCAAAGTCATTAAACAAAATATATGCATATATGCAGTTGTCAGGACAATATTCTACTTTTTTCTCCTATGTTCAATTAGCATTTGTCTCAGCGTCTAAGATATTCAAACTCCTTGTGTTAAAAGGGCAACCTACAGAAAAGGTGGCACCTCTGCCTCTAAGCTTCTGTTTGGGCCCTAATATAGAAAAGTACTTTAAATGCATAACTGGGTATCTCCTATTTGTACAGGAAATTAAATCTCATGCTTAAAATGCTTTATTAGTTTTGTTTAGATTTTTTTAGAGAGTAAACTTTAAGTGAAATTCTCTGGATTGGCAAAAGTTATGAATTTTAAAGCAGGATTTGTGGGATGAATTACCTGGTATTTTCTTCCTGGATAAGTTTGTAAACAGTCCAGGAAATATTTCTGTGTTTTGAATATACTTAGTAAGCACAACAGTCTTTTACACCAGTTGGCTATATATTAAAATACCAATGTGGAGAGGGGGTGGGTGCTAATTTATGCTTGCATTATCTTTTTTTAATTCACTTTGTGCTCTGAGTTCTGTTTGTTGAATATCATACACAGCTGCATGAAAATATTAAACCAGTAAAAAAGCTGAAAAAAAGCTGAAAGCTTTTCCATGAGAATCTCCCTGTGTTTGTCTCCTCTCTAAACACTGCAGTTCCTTATGGCTGCATGTTGCATTTGCAGATTCCAGGCAAAACCTCTGTACTCTATTAGTATTAGTAACTTCCCAAAACTATCACAAATTTAGTAGGCAATAAAGGCAAAAGCATTCAAAACACTTCTCAAAACTACAAGACTGTCTAAATCGGCGCCATTTTATTTGCCTGAAACTGAATGATACTTAAATAATAGTTTAATTTTAAAAAGTAATATTCAGAGCACTTCCCAGTCTTCAGCAGGGCTTGCTTATTAATAGAAGTCAAATGGAGGAACTTTGGAGCATAGTTACTTATAAATAATTATCCCACTGAAGATGGAAGGATAGGGAGATAAGGGTTTACTCCTTATTTTGATGGTGATGTTGGAAACAATAAGAGAAGTCCTGGAGCTACGGCTCTGTTTTTACCATCTGATGGTGTAGTTTCATGGACCCAAATGAAAAGAATGGACAAGAAATTCTGAGGTACAAGGGTGGCTGTGCTTCAAATTGTCTTCTCTGCTTTCAGTTTAGAAGAAATGCTGTGTATGCATTGAAATGGACTGGTTCCAGCAGACAGTCTGAAAGGACCTTGAGGGGCTGGACTCATCCAAAATCTCAACTGAAAATAGTTGAATATGAAGCAAGAATTACAGAACTTATGTTTGCCCTAGTAAAGAACTAATAAAATACCTACCAGAGCTGCTTAGAAATGTGCTTAGCCATGTCCTATGAACAAGGGGTGTAGAAATGTGCCTGTGCTACTCTAGCATCTAACTGATGGGAAGGACTCAAGATTTGCAGTTCCTAAGGTGTATTGCTATATAGAAAACTATGTTCTAATGTCCATGCTTTGTCTTGAATGCATAGAGAAATTTATAATGTGTAAGCTAACTTGATTGAAGAAAGCGCAGGTCGTACCTGCATCTGGGGAGGAAGGAAGGTTGGGCTTTTATTTTGCAGATAGTTTCTATTAGGCAATTTCATGTCATAGGCCTGTATTGGGTTATATGTTCTGTGCAAGTAATCTAAAGGCTGTGCCTTCTGTGCCTGTTCCATAAAACTGGAGAGCATTTGCCCTCACTTCTAGGAGTTTCTTTACAGAAACTAGCTTTGATCTTACTGTAGGTAACGTCCACATCTGTATTTCCTGCAGAAGCGTTTCCTCATTTTAATGCCATTTATTGTATCAACGTTTGAGCTGTGTGTTATTTTTGATGCCTTGGACTTGCCAACAGTTCACAAGTTGTCTTGCCAGGGTAAAAAGGCACCTGGCACTGTATCATGTAGTGCTCTGTTGTTTGGGTTGTGACACTGTTCCTTTTTCATACCATAGTTTCAAGTTACGTCCAAGAGAAAGGATCATAAAAACAAACCACTTTCTTTAAGGAATCATAAATAAAAGTATGAATATTCATAAGAGACTAAGGCAGAAGCCATGGTAATTTCTTCCAGAAGTTTTCACTGGAAGGAGATGAATCTGGAGACCTGCAATACCTGAAACTGTATATGTGCAATAGCTACAAGTGAGGGGAACTGCATGCCAGGATTTAAAATTTGGATAGAAATAGTGTACTGATGTTAGAAATAATGTTGGGAGACCAGAATGTATCCTTGTCACACTAAGAGTTGTACCAAAGTTAGGTTACAGGAACATGAATGCTCTTGCTTTCTAATGAATTACACCAAAAGAGTATTTGAGTTTTGCTCACGACCTACACTGTCGAACTCCAAATGTGTTTTGGATCTGGACAGTCTGGTACAATGTTGACAATTCAAATCCTGCAGCTCTGTGTACACGTGTGAAAACAAGAAAGTGAAAAGAGGATATACTATTTAAAATAGTGTAGATAGTTAAATTTGCATTAGGTATAAAGATCAGATTTTTTCTGTTTTTCACTCTTCACCTAATATCGTAATGGTAACTTTAAAAATGGTTCTGAATTGGGCAGAGGGCATGAAATACTTCTTGAAACAGTATAAACTCCATTCAGTTTTACGTACAAGTGGTGTATCACAGTCTGTTCAGATAATCTCATGGTTCTGAAATTTCTTATGCTTTTAAGTTTGAAGCCTGGAACTCTGCTCTTACTTCACTGCTTTGTGCCACCTGTAAAATCACATTTTTTTCAGAAGAGTGAGGTATATGCAAATAGGTAGCTTGTTAGTATATCCAAATTCAATACTAACCACTGTAAAAGGAGTACCATTTTATATTGCAAGATGAGCAGCAAAACTCTTAGGGTACTAACCTCAAACATACTGGTTTTTTATAGACTTGCTGATACTTAATTTTACTCCAGTGGGGGGGAAAAACCCTGCGTTGCTTCATCTAGTCTACATTTCTATGAACTGTCAGGTTATACTGATAAGCGTTTTTCTTTTCTTGTTTATCCAGGATATATGACTCAAATCCTGAACAGCCAAATATATTCCAGGTGGAGCAGCTGGAACGTCTCAAGAAAGAATTACCAGAATTGAAAAGCTGTGTGTGTCCCACTGTTAGCCACTTTAAATCCATATCTCCATGTAAATGTCATCATAGTTGCCTGGAAGAGAAGGCTGTAGATAACTTGAAGAGTGTTCAAATGCAAAATGACTGATTCTAGGCAAAATGCTGTTTTGTGTCTATTTAACTCACCATTGGAACAGTGCTATCTCTGCCTTCAGGTTGGTTTGTTTTATTTTTAAGTCCCTAAATAGCAATAACTGTGTTCCTCCTTCCTGACAGTACTTGTTAAAATTTCAAACAATGTTAAAATATTCAGCCAGCTATAGTTACTGTTCCAGTTTACATACACAATTTTAACTTCTTCCTGTAATCAAGTCTCAAAAATTGAAAAAGAAAATTGAGTATTAACATTAGGTATGGTTTTAAAGATAAAAAAAACTTAAGTGGTCTGAGGAGTGGATGCTCAGAAAAAAATTGTAGGGAAAAAATGATCTGATAATTGAATATGCTGAAAAGTTGTTCCGACTTTGATTTTTACTTCAGTGCTACAGCTTGTCAGCCTGTCTCTGACAACAGGAAATGGTAGTAAGTGATTGTAAGATACACATGATTAGATCTGGCCTGAATAAATTGGTACCTCATATATATGTATTTGCACTGATAGATCCACCTGTACAAAGCTTTGTGCCATTTTAAAATACCTATATATTTTTAAGTAAACTGCAATGCATATTAACTCATTTTTTTCCCCACTTCATTGGACACAGGCTGCTGACATTTTCTGATTTGCCAATTCATTGGTACGGTGTCTGTATATAGCAGTCAAGGATGAACCACAAGTATAATTTTTTTTATTAATCTTGCACAGGCCTGCTAAACTTTAGAAATGTTGCAAATAATTTTAACAGAATTACAGAAACATCTTCAGTGGTTGAGAATCTTTTTTGCACAATAACATTAATAAACAGAATACGTAACATGCACAAACTCTACAAAATGCATGCTTTAGATATTAAGCATGAAATTTAGGTGTTCGCTGAGGTCCTTGCATCTTTACGGTGCTAGTTATGTGTGAAGGGTGCAAGGACTACTCAACTACTTAATCATCTTTGCCTAAAACCACAAGCCTATTACTCACAAACATTTGAAGAAAAGTCTGTACTGTACATGGTTTGTCTTATTTACATAATACAAGCTACGAGCTTTTGTATTTTGGAAGGGTTTTTTTTCCTCAGAGTAAGAATCATAAATGTACTGAATTCAGATAATCGGCATTCTGTTGGCTGGTATCTATCCTCTGTAACTTATTACAAAGTCATAGTTTAGAGTTCTTCATAGATAGGTATGCATGTCCTTTTTCCTCCTGAAGTTGCAGGTCATGCCAACACAACAGCTGTATCTTTCTACTGAAGTGTTAATGTATAATAAGAATGGAAAAATATTTATTTTTTTCTCTTGTAAATTGACAATGAAAACAATAGTGTGTACTATATTCTTTATATACAGTCATTGCTACATAGAACTGATTGTACAAAGAGTAAAGCCATTGCAAATAAGTGCTTGAGCCTGCACCGCTGAGCAGTTTGAAACAAATGGCTTGTTTCAACTTGCCTTGTGCATTTTAGTATTTAAAGTTTGTTTGTCCTGCACAAACAGCACAGTAATAATTAAATATCTGGAAGCTGTCTTTTATTTAAAAAAAAAAAAAATTAAACCACAATTTGGAAGTGTGAGAGCTGTGTTTTTTGGGAGGGAGGGGGCACTGAACCTGATTCTTGACATCAGGAACCTGTGGCTGTTACCTGATACCGCAAGTCCAGATTCCTCACCTATGGTGATTAAGTCTTAATTTTTTCCTCATTTGTATACCTGTGGGGTTCTTTTGACAGGTCTTGAGGGCTTTGCCAGCTGATGTGCAACCCCTATCAGCGTTACACATGTCACTGCTCGTGCATGCTGGGTGGTGCATCCACAGAGATGCTGAACATGACAGCTATTTTCTGTGAAGGTGGTTTAAAAGTTGTGCTGTCTGAAGCACCCTCTCAGACTAATTACAATGTGATGCTAAGAAGGGCTTTTGCACCCTTAAAAATTTGTTTCCTAACATTCAGATGCCTATTCTGTTTCTGGTGGTGGGGTGTGGGAAAAAAAATACACCCACTGTGGTGATGACTTTACAAGATAGTTTTGAGCAACATCACATTTTAATGTATTCTTGCCAATTCCCTTATTTATGAGTAAATTGTGTCTGCAACTTGCTCTGAACCTGACGAGGCGTTAAGAAGCTCTTCTGCTGTGTCACTTCTTAGACCTGAGCTCTCAGCTTGGCTACACGCAACAGCTGTTCTGCTGCAGCCAATGGGGCAATGCAGCAGGGATATAAGGAACCAAAGAGCAAGGTGGTGGGAACTGGGGGAGGGGAAGTTATGTTCAACTAATACCCTACGAAAAACCTCTTCTTGTAAGGAAATGCTGTGGTGACAAGCAAAGATGGGAGTGTCCACCTGCACTGCTCTGTGGGTGTCCATCAGCTGCTGGTAAGCTTTATGCTGAAATAACCAGGGGTGAGTTTTATGAGACTTCATCTGAGCAGGGAAAAAAGGATTCCTGAGAGAGAGACTCACCTTGTTGAATGTACAGCTCTTTGAGGGGAAGCTCTGTGGTGTTGCCATAGAGGATTTTAGGTGAATTTCTTGTGAAAATGTTCCATCCCTAAGCCCTCACGTGAGCACACAGCTACTTTGTGCTGATGTTCAGCTCCTTGAAAACGTGGGATTTCTGCTGAAACTGCTATGCAGCCCAACTGCCCTGGCAGCTGCTCTCCCGCATGGGCAGCAGGAGGTCACTAAGGTAAGCATGTTGTCTGGTGAAAGGCAGCAGTCAGTTTTCCACTCTGCCAGCGTGTAAATCAGCACTGTATAAGTTTAGTGCCTCCAGTTCATCTGAAACCTTCTCAGCTCTCCCCCAGCTCTTTTCTCACAGGCATGAAAACAAAAGTAGTGAAAGATAGTGGCTGTCTTGAGGGGACCTCCCATTTTCCACTGAGTTTGGGTTTGGGTAACTGTCTTCATGCAGGTGTGCTGAGTGCCCTCAATTTAAATGACCTAAATTGGTGGCTGCTTCCAGGTGTTGGCCTTGACCACTTACATTGCGGGGGGCCTCGGGTTCCTTGCCAGAGTTGCACAGCCCATTGCTGTGGGCTCGTGCTGCAGCGTGCTTTGCTGGGGTTTCCTGTTCCAGGGGTGGCCAAGAGTCCATCTACAGAGAAATAAGAAGCAGGAAACTATTTCCAGCTGATTGAGGGTAGGGAACCAAGACTGTGAGTATTTTTAAGTCTGAATTTTCTACTGAAATCAGTTTTCTCTGGTTGGTTTGGGTCCTGCCACCACTGGGTTTTTGTTGGAGACCAACATGGTCTGGAGCACAGATGGCTTTGCTCCGGCCCAGGGACTGCTACAGTTTTCTAATTTCAAGCTGTATCAGCTGTGGTAGGTGAGACAGAATTTCACTTTTCCTATTCCTGGGAGCGTTTGCTTTTGGGACCACCTAAAGCCTGGACTGTACATGACCCATGCGGCCTGTATTACTTCACGCTCTGGTTCTGCCCCCTCTAAGTGGGAAGAGAGAATGAGAACGGCAGAGCAGAGTGGAGAATAAAAGTTCCTGCACGGCCTCCACCTGAGAAGGTTGCCTGTTGGGGGAAGCTGCTGGCTCCCAGCTGCCCTGGGCGCAGAATCGCTGACGGGGGGTGTGTGGGTGTGTGTCTGAGGATTTTCCTCCCAAACGCTGTGGATGCAGACACCGCTTCTGCGCCACAGACGAGGTGCTTCTGAGTACCGTTCTCCAGCACCGACGCCA